TACAATACGTGTATCTGACTAACCAACAGAGGTGGTATTACACACACAACAAATGTATCTGACTACCCTACAGAGATGGTATAACACACACAACACATGTATCTAACTACCCTAGAGATGGTATAACACACACAACACTTTTATCTGACTACCCTACACAAATGGCATAACCCACACGACATATTGTCTAACTATTCTACAAAAATGGAACAATCCAAATTATTATTTTGCCTGATTACTCTACATAGATGGTATAATCCACATGACACATGTGTCTGACTACCCTACCGAGATGGTATAATCCACATTACACATGTGTCTGACTATAATCCAGAAGTGTGTCCGACCCTAAGCCACATTTCTGACCACTCTTTTCAACTCTATTTTATTCGTACTTGATGCTGTTATATAAATGACACATGTATGCTCCTTGACATCTGCCACTATCCTTTTCTATATTACCACTATAATATAATAGATGGCGGCATGAACGATTTTAGAACGGAGTGTCCCAATAAAACAGTGGACCAGTGTCTACCCTATATCAAAGGTACCGTATAACATTTCTAACAATATCATTAAATGCCAAAAGGGAGTTGTCATAACCAAGGAGGAGGAATGAATCACCGGGAAAATACCATGCGGGCTAATTATGTCGCTGGTCATTTTACTAATGTACGGGGACAGGAGCCAATTCTCGATAGAAAAGTTACAGAAACTAATGTGCAAGTTTTATGCCATGTGATGACATTTGCGTATGAACACATTATCAAGGAAATCTAAATGTTAACGTGTTTTATTATATTGTGTATGGGACATGAAAGTTTGCTTTTTAATATCACCTAATCACTTGTAGTGTTAAGAGTACAACATCGTACTCGTCAATATTTATCTAGATGCTTAGTATACGTACATATGTAAGTGTTTTGATATAATTTATATTTTCACAATCCGCCACGACAAAAAAATGAAGGAAATATTTACTAATGAACAATAGTTTTCATTTTGAACAAAAAGAATGAAGCTGAACAATATATATATGTGTACGTTAGGGACGCGTATGTCGAATAACTTGCATTTATATCATTTGTTGTTATTTCAACCTGTTCAACTTTAGACTAATTCAGTTTGTCGTTATAAATTCTACCGCTTCATACGACGTCGTCAGCCGTGCGTCGCGCGTACTCTTTTCCTTGGAACCTCTTGCCTCATTAACGCCAGCGCGAATTTCAACCAAAGATGGGGTTTCCAGCAATGTTAATTTCCCATAGAAATCGGTCTAAAGATTGTTCACCCTTCGAGATCACTCAACGATACATTGCTTTGTGCCATCAAATTTGGTTTCCGTGGCTTCACATTTAATCCATATTAATCGATGACTCACTTGGTTAGTTAATTAATTACGTCACTAAATTACTAAACTATGAAGTATATCGCTGATATTTTAATTTTTCAAGCATTTTGTGAAAAACAGAAATTTTTGTGAACAAATGACGTTTTGAATGTTTATTTAGCATATATATCGCATAGCTTTATCTCTTACCCTAACTCTGGCCTAAGATCGAAACTTCACCATTTGTGCAAAGTGTTGATTTTTGGCTTTGATGTGTATCACCCCAATAACTTGTTAAACGATAGGGGGCCTAAAGAGGATATTTACGAAGTCCACTTTAAAATGTTACTTTTCTTGAATGTTTGAGAGGATTTCAACCAAACCTGGTATGAAAATTTACTGGAGGCCAAACATTTCTAATGTAAAAGAAGTATATTCGACCCTGGGGTCAGATGGCGGACAAGATACCGATGAGGAAGTCTGCTGATTTCAATCAGATTAAATTTAATTAAATGACTAGTGGAGAGCAAACTGGTTGACCAGGGGAGGGCAAAAACGGGAAATTAATCAAAATTGTACTTTAAAACGCTACTCCTCGGTAACCGTGATATTAGATCTCAACCAAATTTAGTATGGAATTTTATCAGAGAATCACCAAATCTTACATCAATGAGAAACGTTGGCCAAGCTGAGGACAGAGGGAAGGCCCTCTAAGGGGAAATTTGGCGATTTCAACTAAATTTGGACTTAAATATCACTGAAAAAGGGAATATAAACTGAAAGTTTGTTTACAATCTTTACTTCCCTCTAACGCAAGATCGGAATCTTTAAATTGATGAGCTTAGTTCATCTTCTGGGGATTGCAGAAATGCTCAGAGACTTGTCCTGACCAAATCTTTCTCTTTTTTTAACCAGGTACTCCATATGATGGCTAAACCATGTACATGTTTGATTGTCAGACGGAAGTTAAGGACCAAAATAGGTCTTGACAAACAGGAAGGTCAATGGTTCTCCTAGTTTACCTTTGTCCCCATTGTGGACAACATGATTAACAGTCTTTCAAAGAGATTGTATTGAAAGTGAAAATAGATATTCAATATCCTTATTATTTACCTCTGTTCAGCCACCGTGTTCTGTTATGATCCAAGTACACTGGTTCCCAAGGGGCAGTAAGTCACCATGACCTTCACGGAATGTTCATAAGACTATTGGGTAAAAATCTCAACCGTTTACTTGTTGTGACCCGTAGACCGTGTAATCCCTCGGGGTAAGGAGGTGGTTCCCAGCTTACTCCTAATACACCTTTATTGATATTTTTGCTTTTTCTGTTCTAAAACGTTTGCATTCCACTAACTAACCAGGAAACAAATTCTTGTACCTAGAAGTAACAACTATCTGGCTAAAGTGGTATTCAAGAGGGTTTAAAACTCTGTACTATAGAAGTATGTATCTTCAGAACATCTTTCTGTGTAATATCAAACTTGTCCTTCTGGATGGGAATAGTTTTTTTTTTCGCTTAAGAAAATCTTGAGAAGTCCTTTAAAGAAAAAATGTGACAAGGGATGGGCCACAACATTTTAATTCACCGTGGTCTTACGGACCAGTTTAGCTTAAATGGGGTTACTAACATTAATAGGATTAAAGCCGAGACAATAACGACTTCTTGAAAGATATCAGAAATTTTCTTTAGTACAGTTTTTAAAAGTAAGCGTATTCGTATACTGTAAGTACGTCCTACTTAACTATATGAGACCCAGGCTAAGATGCATACCATGCATTGTCTATAAAACACATTGCTATTGTTAAGGTTACATTGTGTCAAGTACGGTTTAAGAGGAGGATGCTAGCGTTCCTCTCGGCGGAAATTGAGATTCTTTCGAGGTCTAAAAGGTGTTTGTGTCCCCGTTTATGTCGCTGTCCTGTGTCATTTGGAGTAGGATCGTATTTGGGTTATTGTGTACACGTATCTCATAACATCATGACATGTGACTGAGTATGTTACCGTTCGTTGACAACCTTCCATCGTCCATCACCCACTAGTATTGGTCAAAATTTCATTCTCAAAAGATTAACCAAATTGTAACATTGTATTGTCACCATTGAGGAATATGTGCCAAAAAACCGCCGAAAATTCAAAGCGATCGCAACCGATTATAATTCCGCTAACATTTTTAGACAACTGTCTCATCTTTCAATATGGCGATATTAGGAAGATTTTCATTTAAAACTGTTAAACTTCCTTTCCTCTGAAGTTGCTCGCTAACCTCTCCAACTTGCGTGGTTTTCATCTCCCAGCTGATTAACAAAAACTGCAGTGGCTATCATACTAACTTGTTCAAGCACGCTTAACTTTTTTCTGATAATTCGCTGAAATTATACGACTACGTGGAATTCATTTAAAAATAAATGAAAATTTTCACATCGTGTTAAATTGTTTTAAATTGGTAAATGATGCACTCGTTAGAATATGATGAAATACAATTTGCAGGCGATGGCGCAAGTGACGAAACGCTTGCTATGTTATACATATAAGTATTCTCGTTGTTGCATGTAGCACGCTATATTTCGTACGTTACGTGTTAACAGTACACTGCATGTTATGTATTTCATCCTATTGATATGATGATTGAAAATTTGTGTCTTTCTGTGTTGATAATGTAGCATACTGTCCTCGTGTATATGTACGTTGAAGGTCCAGTGTGTTTAAGTCTTGCTTAATGAAAATATAGCCAATGTTTTGGCCTTTACGTTTTTCATAGTTTTCCTTACTTGATCATGTTGCCGCATAGTGTTTGTAATTAACTGTTACGTGTTGACGCAACATGCATATGTCCTGATGGTTTGTACATATATAAGTGCGTATGTATAAAGGTATTCTCTATTGCACCGTGTATTTTGTCCTTCTGTATTACATCAAAGTTTGTTCCATCTATGTATATCCCGTATTACTTCGCTGATGTCATTACTTCTATCGATTGTCTGCACCAGTCATTTTGTTTTACGGACTGACGGAATGTTTATTGCTCAGTTCACCTGGCCCTGGTGTTAAGCTGGAAGGTTTCTGAGGCCCAACAACGTTTGTAACTGAGGTAAAATTTGTTAAAATCTTCAAATTAATTTTTCGGTAACCATGCTAACCAAAAGGCCTGGAATCATTATATCTGATTGTGATGATCCTGGTTAAACAAAGTTTGCGAACATATATCATCTTGCTCCCTATACAAATTTGTTAACACCTTCAAACGGCTTCTAAATAACCAAAAGGCCTGAAATAATGATGGTTGGCTGTAAGGGACTGAGAAAAAGCATACAGAAAGAGATTACCTATACACATATTCAATGTCACAAAGGTCAAATTGTGGAAAGTTTAGAATTCTGTCTGATTAAGCAAATGGTCAATGATCATAATATTTTGCTAACAAATTCTTTAGATAAAGCGCAATAAAGTTCGACAAAAATTATATTGACCAATATTCAAGTTTAAAAATACTGTACACAGTAACCAAGGTATTTATGCTGATGTTGTGAATTTTTTATGAAGCTGCTAAAAGCATCAAATACCAAGTGAGCAATACAGGCACATTAGGCCTTCTGTTTGACTTCCATTTCTTCTTTTTTTCCTGGAAGGATTCGCGTGTATCGATGAAAAACACATATTAGACATAAAAAAAATAATTGAATTGTTTTTTATAAAATGTATACCGTCCATTTATAATGCAGTCGATGGATACATATCCAATGATGCACAAAAATATTCAACAATAACATTTGATACATTGTACGATTATCACAGTTGTAAACTATAGGTAAGCATTTAAAAGGCCATAGTTTGGTGATGTCTGGCACCTTTAACTATCACAGAGAAGCAAATATAATGAAGCATAGTCAGGAGTACTGAAACGTATTCCGCGGAATTAACGAAGTATTGCTGTGTGACACACGTGTGGAGATTGATCACGTGAGATTACGCCATTGTCATTTAGAGACCATTTGATAAAATCATTGCACACAGAAATGTTAGAATTATTTCACAAACCGTGTTCAGCTTGATGTACTGTAACAAGTCCAATATCATTACAGTACCAATTATGAAAATTATACGCCAATTGCTTAATTTACTCTATTATCCGACGAAAGTTTTTTCATGAGTACACGGATTCAGGCTTTTGTTGGCCGAATTTAATATTTGATGGGGAATTGCCGATTGCAGCAATAGCGGAATCTTTCTGTTTTACTTCCAAATTACATACGTCATAAGGGTTTGTGTCCCGTGTGACGTCATTTCCTCTGTTAGTATCACTTGAGCTGCTGTTGGCTTTATCAGAACACACTGGACCAACAGAGCTGTAGTTTTTTGTGCGCTTTCTCTTCATTTTCTTAATACCGGCTTTGATTTTGATAGCATCGTATGGAGTAGCGTAGTCCCGTGACGTTGAAATGGTAGGATCTTTGAGCGGTAGAGGTTCAGAGTAGTTATTTATTCTGATGACATCGATGTCCACGTCGACGATTTCGTTGTAGATGTGTTCCTCTCCAGGGTCGTTACCACTGTCGTCGGTCTCTTCGTAACCTCCAATGCTATTGTTTGTGTCTATCCATTCGGAAGTAGACACGACGCTGGTCTTCGTAACTTCTGCGTTGTTGTTTTTTGGCTTTGTTTTCAAGCATCTGGAACAAAACGTTCATCGATTACATAATTAGTCTCGGATGAAAGACAGATAAAGATCTATCACATAAAGGTTACATATTTTCGCGATACTGCAGGCCTATACAAAAAACGTATGGCGTAGATCACTTACGAGTGCTTTGCTAGTTTTCTTTATTAAATGAATCTTCAAAAACGTCAATTTTTTTGTTTGTTTTGATATTCTGAACCGTGATATTGTTAAAACTTTCCATCCAGGTTACAACAGTTTTTTTTTCGGTCTAAAAGCTGTACATAAAACGCCCGAGTAAAAAACATCTTTCAACACGTATTTCTAATCAGAGACAGAAGAGTAAGATTAACGAATCTTTGGAAAAGTATTTGCCTGATAGGGTCTCTCAGTATAAGGGCATAAACCTAGGAGACCACTGAAGTAGTTCCGAGATAAATAACACAAATCGGCTGCGCAGAATTTCTACAGCCCCTACTTCAATAACATATTGATACACCTCTTCTTTATTTACTTATTAACAAGTAACTGCTTAAATCAATTAACCCCGTTTGCCTAACTTCCGGTTAGATGCGTAAAAATTGTGTTGCCCTCTTGAGTCAATCACGCGATAGCGGTAGAGTATGCTGACAGACAAACTGAGAACGATCCAATTACATTAGAGACGGTATACTTGACAACGTGCTGACAATGTGCACATGACACATTCCAATACACTGTCTTTGCTTACAATGTGCATTTGACACTTTTTCCATCAAATGGACAGTGATAATATTTTAGCTAAACTATCTTCGGTTTGCATCGGTATAATAAAATTGGTTATTAGTAATATCACAATGGGACGGATTATAACTAAATAGGACTATAAATATAGATATTATATTAACTCATACAGCACAATACAGCATTAATGAAAAGCGAAGTTTTTTTGAAGTTACAATGTAATACTTCCTGTTGTTAAATTACTTGAATTCACTATGAACACTAATAATGGAAACCTGGCGCATGATTGGTTCATATATTACACATAAAGTATATTTTTGTTAATACGGAAAAACTTACTTCCGAATCATGATTCCACAGCCAAACAAAAAGCTGACGAACACAGCGGATCCCACTCCAATAACTATATAAATATACAGTTGTACATCTGAAAATGTAATACAAATAATACAGAAGATTATATCTAGGGACGTTCATTCACAAATCAGCCTGTTGTTTTAAGTGTCAGCGGCGCGGTATTGTAACATTAATTGGCATATAAAGACTTAAAAATGTAAGATATATAAACGGTACTGTCTTATTATCAGCTTTTATAAACAATCATTTCTTTTTATGTATGCATGTCATCATGTATGTTCTTTATTTCCTAGCATGAAATAGATCACGCCAGAGTTACCTCCCCTTGTTTTAGATCTTTATCTAAACCCGATTAAACTACATTTTAACTTGCCGGTAAGGGGTCATATTGAGATGACCTTCACCTAACGCAGCTAATCGCGATGATTTTCCAAGATGTTCGCCACGATACTTGCTTTGTATCTTGGTTAGTCTGAGTGTCCCGAATGATATCACAACCACAATAGGCGTGGCCTTGGAATGCCCGCTCGTGCCAAAAGTGTATTTATTTGATAATACATGTTTATAATTTCTCATTTTATCAACCATTACGCCAACAATATCAGAAGGAAAAGAGGAACAACCAGTTATTAAATCGAGCTCAAATGTCAAGCAAAAGTAGATTTTAGGTCACTGGATCATTTCACGACAGTGTGAATGGAACTTTTCAAAAATGCTTGAGGGTTGTTGGATGAATTCATAAGTTACAGAATGATATACGAAAAAATAAAGAAAAGATACGAAAAGGTGCCCTTCAGTTTGTTTTCTCCTTCCGGATCTGAGACAGGCTCGCGTTGATTGCATGGTAAACAATCAATCAGGTCATCCGAATTCCCTCTCTATACCTCCATACGTTTTATGAAGTTCTGTATTTTCCTCGCAGATTTTTTCTTTTATCTTTCAAAGGGGTAATTAGCCCACCCATCCCATTATGCCGTGTGGCTACGATGCATGATGAACATTGAACATTTAAGACAGCTGAAGTACATTATATCTAACAGGTTGAATTTCAGTATGTATCTGTTGGGTGCCCTAGTTACTGTTAAGCAATCAGTCGTAGTCAAACATTATTTAATACAAGAACATTTTAATGTGGTAGCAGGTTTTGGTGAACTTACTCATTCCTAGTATTCCCTTGGGTTTGTGAACCTCTGTGGAAATGACATTTGTCACATTATTTGTTCCAGGGGTGATGCGTATTTCGTCCGTGTGAGCCGAATTCGTAGTAGTTGGGAACTGAACATCTATAGGTCCGCGAGTGGCCGTCACTTCTGATGTGGCACACACGTATCTTAGACTGTCGTCACATCTTCTGTTTGTAAGTTTCCAATTCACACTAGTTTCATTTTCCATTGCAACACATTGACCGGTGTCGTCTCCATCTTATGCAACAAAGAATGGTATGCTAAGCTATTACATATAAAATGAGAGTCGTAGAGTTGAACAGCAGGGCTGACGATACTGACTTTATCGTAATGGAAGTTTCCGTGGTAAATGAAGACATCAGATACATCTTTCACGCATATTTGATCAAGTTTATTGTGGTTCTGTTAATCACTATTTCAGTGCCGCCGATCGTCGACGAATAAGGACAACCTCTCAGAATACAAGGTCTTATAATTCACCTTCTTTGTTTTCTATGTCTCTATGTATATAGGTCTTAGATGATATTTTTGCTTTAATGCATGATAAAATCTTGTTGACCCAGTTACATACACTTTGGTGTTATTTTAATGTTTTTATATTGAAATGCCATATACATACACCTGACATTTTTTTCATTATGTATCATTTGTATAACATTCGTTTGTAGAGTGACCATTTCTTAATTGTAATTATGAAGGAAGCAATTTGTATAACTTTCAGTTCGGAAGAGGAAAGGATATGAAAAAAAATAATTATTTGAAAAAAGCACATCCAAATACACCCACATGGCAACATAACCATAATTTAAACTCAAATTCCAAGAAACTATGGCAAAATATGAACAAAAGTAAGATTTACGCGGAGACTCCTGAAAAAATAGGATAATAAGACCATGTGTTCCGGAAGGGTAAGCTTGTTATACTTCATCGACAATGTATGCAACAAAGGCACCACTTACAAACTAACGAACATCAAATACAAAAATATCTTCTTTGTGTTTGTATATCAAAATATAGTTCATATATTTGAAAACGTATTTCTCAAAGCAAGGTTGAAATCGTTTTCATCAATTTGTCATACTTACGAGCAAATGGTGGGCTGTCGTTCCACTTAATGCTCGTGTTTCTAAACATGCATATCCAATATGTTTCGTTTGTAGGAATATCCAGTTTTCCGTTATTCAGTGCGTCAACATCCGTGAAGAATCTATATGGCGAGTTGTCTATATATTCTCTCATTTTATACCAAGATGTCTTAGTTTTGTTTATCGTCGTCGTTTGCAAATTTTTTTCTGTTGAATGAAATAAGATATTCTATGCATTATATGACTTAAGTACGTAATTCTGATAAAATGTCGACTGGGAAATCATAGTCGACTACATATATTAAAGCAACATATCTATCATAAACACTTGAAAAATGTCCCCATTGCCAATTTGTCGTTGTGTTTATTCTTCTCACAAAGACAATCCCTTTTTCTCGGAGTCCTCGATGTTTGTGTGATGTAGTGAGGTCCGACTAACAACAGATAAATGTAACATAAAGTTTATTTCTTAAGATGATGTACAGCTCGCTAAAACCTGAAACAAAAATCGCATTTGTAGTGTTATACAATGTACTTACCTTTCTTGTATATAAAAGGTAATTGTAAATTGCAATCAACTGCATGTTCTGTCCAGTTTCCATTGATGTATGTTATGGCAGCACAGGTGTGATTTGTATCTAAAATAATTAAGACACTTGGTAAATCAAAATTAAAAAATATAAAGTAAATATTCAAATTACCTATATCACTACGTTTATACACTGCATCAATGACTGTGCACAAGACCCAAAAGTGAATAGCACATTTCATATACAAATCATGTCCAAATCAGATACAGTAGAAAAAACAATGGATAAAACATGCAGCTGTTTCGGCGTTCTAGGACACGTCAGTGATGCTAAAGGTCTATACTTTGAAGCTTAGAATCGGCTGAGAAAAATCCAAAATGACCGATAGAAATTTCAAAATCTACATGGGGAGGTTGCTTGCACTAGTCGCATAATAAATGGAATTCATCATTTTCATAAGTCTGATAATTTCAGAATGAATTTACATGTAGCTTGCAAGTTACGGAAACCTTCGGGTAATGAACGTCCAACAGCAGTGTAACATGTTTTTTTTATTATATATATACATGTCCAGCATTAATTGCAACGCTGATACACAATATCTCAAATCATATGTCATTGATTGATTTTCTTTATTACAATTGTGATGACCGCAAGGTTTTAACGTTAGTTTCAATCTCACAACTTGTATGTTTGCGTGAATTTAAATATATCGACTAAAACTACAATTGCAAAGCACCAACACAACATGGAAAAGAAACCTTTCTCCGAAGTGATTAGTAGAACGCTACAATAATGATGTATTACTGCCACGCGGGTTTCCGTCGTATCGTGAATACTTTTATTTCATTAAGAGAACCCAACGCTAAACTCTTAAATCATTTACTGGAGGTTCCGGTATGTGAAGGTAATTGAATATATAACATTAAGTAGAATCTCGAATTTACCTTGCTGTAAGGTTCTAGTTGTATAAGTTGTATAGGCCCGTGGTCCACCACATTTTTCCAATGCGTTTCCTGGACATGCCATGCTACAGTGATTTGATGATACAAACTGGATACCATATTTAAAAAAGCACTCACACTTTTCTCCCTGTGAGAATAATTTGTACAATTATATCATTATATTTTCGAGGAAACAATTCTAAACGCATTAAGCATTTCTAATCAGCAATTGCATATGTCATTAATATGCCATTGAGTCTATAAATCAACAGACTTATACATTAAACACTCTTTATCTTAGGAATAACAAATATTGGGTACAATAAATATAGTACATCGCCGCAATCGTGTCGTAATGCGGAATTCGTCAAAGTTAATTGCAAGGTTACTTTACTATACGTTTGTCTTATCAATAACAACCGACCATGATCATTGCTAAAAAAGAACGTATCTTTACTATGATACCAAACACCTATATTCATCAAACGACCAGGATCGTGAGTTTTTTTTCCTTGCACAGAAAAATGAATGGCGGTACAAATACATGATCGAGACTGATACTGAAACATACTACGTGAGAAATACGTCCAAATCAAAGACAAAATATACAGAAGACTAAATAATGATAGAATTTCAAGTCGACAATTCTCCGTCGAATTTGGTGGTAGGATCTTCCAACCCAACACTGTGCCCTCACTTGGAAGACTTGTTTTTTTATTTGATAAGAGACTGAATTTTCCTCGATCACTTCTTTTCTTTCCACCAAGCTATATGATAAGCTTCATTATTTAAATTTCCCTATATATGTTCCAACCCCTCCCCCTAACCCCCCGCCGCCACCGCCACCGCCCATGCACACACACTTTCCTCTTCTCCGTTCCGTACTGCTATTCACATAGTAAATGTATAACATTTGAACGCTATACGTAATACGACTAGTGACTGGAAACTTACATAAAGACGTAGCATCATGCCTCTAGAACATGCCATTGCACACATCACCGCATGATTGTTTCGGAAAGTGTGCGTTTCTTTTACAGTACCAATATCTTGTCCGTCTGTCATTTGACAACCTGTAAATATTACATTCTACATGATGAAAAGAACAGGAATAGCGAATACACAATATTCTGATGACATCGTCAGGAAGGTAGAATTTCTACTTGACGATCTTTTCCTCGAGGTCTCGACAAACTAATTAGAACCAAAAAATGATCAAAAAGCTTATCGAAGAGGTAAAAAAGTCTTGTTTTTAACTCTCATGAAATCTGTTGACCGAGTCTGTTGTATATACCGAGCCGAAATGGAGATCAAGGACAAATGAGGCTCTCAAACATCAACAGATTACTTCAATGTAAACCTTCAACGCAACCAACAGCGACATCTCTCTGTTTGCTATTATTAGGTTGTTTGTTGTAAAATATCCGATTCTACTTCTAAACTTATAGTGTCTATATTTTTAGATGATTCAATATATTCTATGATATTACCGGTACAATTATAATTGTTATCATGATACTTCCTGGACAATTTGTGGTCGGTACTACAAGGTTCGGAATGAAAGGTCGGGAAATGTTTGATAACTATGATTTAATACTATAATAAATCTATTATACAGTGATAAAGTACATTACCTTCGGCTCTTATCCATGGCGAATAGACCTCCTGTCCTCCCGTCCACAATACATGCGGCATATTCTGTGTTTCAACATGGAGGTTCTGAACCACTGTGAGAATTGATTTCCCCTTATCGACAAACTCCACCAACTTCTGGTCTTTACATTGACGGCGGGCGTTGTACCAGTCTTTCCGTTCATTAGAAGCAATGTTAGCTAATAAAAGACCAACATTTCAATGTTAGAATAAAAAACTGAAACGGACTCCATTATTATATTTGTTCATACATAATGTATAATGAAGATGTAATTCGGGTGATTTGCTTTTCTCTCAATTTGAATTATAGTTATAATATTGTTTAGTAATAGAAAATTGAAATATCATTTTTTCTTTACTGTTATTATGCAGAAAAAAAACATTAAGAGAAAGCGACAGTACATACAATAACTGGAGATTAGAAACGTTTGCTGCTATGATCAGGTATGTATTTTATCCTACAAGGAAGCAAATACATAGAAATCCTATGTATATGGACACGAAATAAAGGACAGAAGTGAAAAACAGACAACAAAAAATAATGTTTGCTATTAAGTCGATCATTGTTATGTATGACGTTATTTGACATTTATGCAATAAAGTGTTCTGAACTTTGAAGCATGCCATTTAAGATTTCAATTCAATTACTGTGATGTTGTGTTGTTAAATAATAAAAAAACTATTGGCCATGTCGATCGGCTATGCGCATAAAGATCATCTGTTTACCTCAATACTTACCAACAGGAACCTCTTACAATTACGACGTATGACAGCATGATGATAATTTCCCGATTATATAACTTTTTTTTCTTCAAATATCACTATTTCCTAGATAGATGCCGTATACTGATAGAAAATAACATCGGGTTTCAAAGTGCAGATTGAAAAAGACTACTGTGAAGCTTTATTATTATAACTATGGTATCATTTAGATACTGGATGGAATGCGTGCTGGTTTCGCTGTACAGTCATGCCAGTGCACAAGTACTTATTTTGGAAGCCTGACCTTACTTGGACTGACCTCAGATTAACATTGCGAGTGCCGTTCATGAAACAGACGATGCTCAATTCAGTAAATTTATTATCCTAGCCCTTAAGGCCTATAAGTAAGTGTCGCTAATATAATACAGGGCAGCATATTGGCGATCGGTTTGGTAATGGGTAATATGGTGGTAACTTGTTTAACTTTGTTTAAGGGGGTGACAGTTTCCCGATATAATTGACCCACAGTCTAGAATTAATGTCAATAATACGTTTCTTATAGATTTTATTTCGCTCAGGCACACTGAAGTGTGAAACAAGAGGTCACAATTCGTTACATTTATATAAAGGCTCCTTAAGACTTTGTAAATATAAGTTAGTAAAATGAAATGATATCGATCGTCAATTAACGCTTTCGACATCAGTGTTACGAACAATCCCGCACAATATCAGTTTGTAATGAGCGATTTCAGTAGTTAAAGACGGGAAAACATTTGTATTGTTAAATATTTTGTGAAATAAAACTAAATGGAAATTTTCTCTACTGAAGGCTTGTTATTCTACCTTTATAGGGTATCTTTCATTTGTTTTTTTCTTATTTTTATTTATTTATTTATTTATTTATTCTTTAATGTTTTTAAATGTTGATATTCTTTGGTTATTTTGATACCTCCCATCCCATAAAACAACGACCTCGTTATCATCATGACCTTAGAGAAGACGAAATGTTTATCCCTGTACCTGGTCGAGAGTATCGCGAGATTAACCGCTATATATGATAAATACAATTATGTGAATAACATAATACATGCACATGTAATCATGATAATCCATCCCCGAAAATTAGTGATAAACATTTTAACGAGTTTTAAGCGGTAACGCGATTTATGCGTAACATATTCATGGTATTAATTTATATCTACAGATACCATAAATTGTTGATAGCTGTAGGAACAGGCATATTTGTACAACCGTGTCTTTAATGTTGATAGTTCTGTCCTCTTTAAATTCTTATAATACACCTGCATTTTGAAAAGCTGCCTCCGTTAATTTCTGAGTTTTATAAGACTCCAGGACGTGGAGATTTAACTTGTTATCCGATTTGGTACATACCGCCTCTGCAGTATGTGTTGATCACAGATTGATACTTGCTTGTGTATATGTACTTAAACAGACAACATATTGTTAACCGTTAGAACGAGTATCGAGAAGAATGTTTTGTAATGTGTGCATATATTAAGTTAATGATAAGGACTTCTTATCGCATTGTACAATATATGTTAACCAATTTGTGATGTTGGGATGCTGACTATTCGGTTTACGGAGATGTTTTTGCCACTCAGCCGAGAGTGTACTCTCTGACCTTACATTTCCGGGTTCTGCTGCCTACATACACGTATGGCACATGCAGTGTGGATAAATCATGTTCATAATTTGTCAGAAATTAAAACACGTTCTCACTTTTCATCTGATTAGGAATCTCTCTAATAGATGTGACTTATAATTAAGATAGGGAGGAGGTATAACGTATGCACAAGATCGTTCATACGATAAGTACTTTAAGTGTTTCAGACTTAATAATTTGCACATGCATGAAGAAAAGTAATTGAACAGCGAGAACGATTGCTTCAATCCCTAGACGAGACTGATATCTGATATGTATACATGTAAGAAGATTAATAAGTAAATGAGATCCACACATTTCGCGTTTTCTTGATACAATAAGCGATCCTGACTCCTACACAAACAATGTATAGGAAGAAGCAGCTAGACACACGAAGATGTGACTAGCATTATACTGTTCTAAAAGCTGTTTTTATATGATAAGGGCATGAAATACGATAAGTATTGTAAGGTGGGCCATTTTAAATATTTTTTTGTCTTATGTTGGTACTTTCATATTCATAGCCCGCATATATATAGTTTTAATACAATATTGAAACCACCATCATTCAGACAAAAAGATAAAACAAAACAAGAATTAATTATATGTAGTACACCTGCATGTCTTTAGACTTTTTTTTTTACTTTTTTTTTGTTTTGTTTTACTTTTTGATTGCACCAGTTGACATTATTACACTACATTTTTGTACTTAAAATGCAGTTCCTAATTCTAGTAAAAACACACTCTAAACGTGTGCCAAGTACAATCAATGATTGTAGTTATTTCAGTGATACAGGTTATCTGTTATTATCTTGGATTTTATATCCGGCTGAACTATTGCAGTATGTGTTCGGAGATTCCTGAATGGGAGTCATGCCGTTTGGTACGTATCACTGCTGGCCTATATTTATATAACACGATGTTTATTTATGTTGATCACGTGTTGATCCAGACCTAACACGTCCTTTAACTATGTCAATACTCATAGAAGCAATGTTTCATTGTGTTTAGTTTATCTAGACAATTTGGTCTTTTCATTCGAATGTTTTCTTTTTTTTTCTCTCTCTCTCTCTTTTTGTAATTTTGAAATGTGAATGTTATTTTTACGTATTTTACGTGACAGAAATCTACAGATTCAGCACAACAGGAAGAAACGTCATTCAGCCAATGCTGCACCGTTTGACCTGGCATTTCCGGTTCCTGTTTTAAACACATGCAATATGTACAGCATGTAATTTATGATCTCACACTGTATTTTGTGCGCTGTCGCCCTCTGTATCAGCATAGGACAGTTCTCATATGCTAAGAGTAGTTAAAGACGTATAAGTTGAAATTCCTGTAACTCTTAATTATAATGGGTTCATATTTCAAGACGAACTCTATGATGTGGTGTAAAGTGATAAGTGTTGGAGACTCGTGTTTTAAATCAACATGCCTTTGGAGTACAAAGAACGAATAAATATTAATACGTTTAAATAAAGTAGTTACAAATTACACAATGAAATACTCAATTATACAACACTTTCCAAAGCATTAAATATTTGTTCTGCGTGTATCATTAATTATAATACAATAATGTGATGGCGTTTGGTTTTCTTTAAGTTTTGCGTAGTTGACATCAAAACACACCGACGAATTTCCGAAGGTTGTTTAATAAAAAGTTGGTGTCAAAACCATAGTTCCTTTTTGTTGTTATTATACCGTGGTGCATTTAGGATACGTATCATTTTTTGTATTAGTTATCTCTAGTGCACGACTTCCTAATGTAACTTCTTGAGCTGTCAACATATTTTCATTTTTATCAGATTTATATATGAATTGTCGCCATGATCTAATTTTAAAATGGTGGTGATCTTTAAATTCAATACTACTGATTTGTGTTACTATTTTCATCAGTGTAACTATTTATCTCATTCTATTATACAAACATTTTGACGCAACTATTGTGGACGACGTGGATGCTGCCCGCGACAGCTCAGTAGAGTAGGATGTTGAAATAAAATATACACTGTTAAAAAAATGACTTGTTCTTCGTACCTTCGGATGAAAACCCGAAGTGCGTTGTTCCTTATTCTTGTCTGTTCGTGATTTTTCCCGGTAAACGGAGGAAAAGACAGGCTTTTTTAAAATTCGTAATGACTAACGACGACGGGCCTTTCGTACATTGTTCTGTGTGGTAACCACCAACTACTACAAGGAGACCCGTCTTATAGAATCAACCTGGCTGTTCACAGAGCAAGAAACGCGGCAACCAGAAAAAGTGTACATGTACGCACATTTGATATTATTATTACACACTCCTGTTTACTTATCAAACACGTCTGTTTGTATTCATACAAAAATGGAAACAAATAATGTGTCTATCAATGTTACACATAGATGTATATCTGTTTATATCAATACTGTGCCCACTTATATCAATAATACATTCATTTGTTTATTACAAAACACGTATATATATTTCACATCCATCTGTTTACATTTCAATACTTCACTTACATGTGTAAGAATAATACTACATTTACTTACATAAACCAATGCCATACTCTTGTGATTAACAGTATTTTCACAAATCTTGTTCATTTCCGCACGTCATTCACGTTCTCGCTTCATTCAAAGTTTATTTTTAGAATATTCTGTTACACGTGCCATTTTACCAAGTTCAAACTAGCTTTTACATATGTATAAAACCTGTTGCCACGCACCTTAGCGAGAGCTATTCGGTAGACGAATGGAAATAAGCAGCAAAATAGGAGTTTTAAGACAGTCCACAATTCCACATGAAAGTGAAGTATTCTGAATACATAGTGATTGCCGGGTCTAACATAGCGTAGTATTTAATTCTTTGCTACCAGTGGGTATATTTCTAAAAATAAAGTTCTGTATTGCAACTGTTCGGCATCTTTGAGCCTACGCTCAGGTTGTTCCCGCTATTTCATACATTTCACATACATACACTAGCTCACATGTTTCAGCTTTTGCATGTTTTGAAGACTTGCTTTTAAAACACCATGTATTGCGTGGTTTTCCAATGGTTAACTCCGTGACGTTCAACAAGTTTTTTTATAGGCATTATGCATCTAATACATCGCATTAGTACTAATTGCCACGCTTTTTAATTGATAACCTTTGACCTCTGAACAGGTTGTCTATTATTAGACGTTATTAAGGCGTGGGATGATAGGCTACAGCTGTGTAAAGATGACTAGGCTGTTAAGTGTACACATTAGCTATATACTTTATCATATTATCTGTGCGGGCTCATGGACAAGTTAGTATTTTAATGTTAAATACATTTTGTGGTTATACCAAACTTGACAACATAATTGAGCAAACTATCTTACCGGCATTGGCGTTCGTACAGCATATTAAAATCCAAATGGCGAGAACCACACTAGACGATGATGAATCCTCCATGTTTTTGGTGAGTAGATCCCTCAATAGATACTACTGCTGTTTTGCCTCAATCAATACTACTCGCGGTACATGGTATGCGCCTGCTCGGAGGTTGCCCTGCACACACGTTGAAAGTATATTACGTACAAGTGTTTCCCACTACCGCAACACCACCACCGTGAATTGTTTATTATACCAGAATTTCAAGTGCAAAAGGAAGAAGTGAAATACTTAATGTGAAGTTGGAGAGCGATGTTAAGTTGGAATGTTTGTGCTGTGACGCATTATATATATAGATACACATACCAGCTGCACACTAGGTCTCCGTGTTTCGGTGACAAGTCAATCACACCAGTGTCCTCTAATTCATCAACTGCTTCGTATTTACGTGTGTATGTTTTACGAAGTTGTATGTGTATACATTATCTCTTATATTTTACACCTCATTCATTGTAGTTTAACATGTTTAAAAAATATATGTAAATAAATGTTGTGTCTGAAAAGTCACCTCACTGGACAAAACAAAACAAACTAAAAAAGCTAAAATACCATTGAAATTAATTAATATATATAATCGATCGGAGTATTTTCAATATTCAATCGCCGAACGAAATTTGTGAAGTCTACTGTATCTCCCGGACGCAGTATTACTACTATAACAAAATATAGATATTACGATAAATAGTTATTTTTCATTTCCATTTTACATATCTTATATTTTATTTGTTTATTAAATTTCATATCCATATATCATCTTTTTAACAGCCGCTGTCAGTTGTGCTACTGTCATCCTTATCTTTAACGGTTTTATTAATTTCTACCTTTCAACGCAATATCGCTTTTGTTCTAGTTTCTTGTGAATGGATGCACATGGGTCTTTCTATTGTATGTTTATAGAAGGTAATATGTGCAATGCTCTCTCTCTACAATATATATATATATATATATATATATATATAAAAAGGATTTCTAATTTTGCTACAAGTAATGTTTACATATCAAAGAAAAGATCTGTTTTCTGTTTTGGGTTGTAATCTCTATTGAACAAGGAAACATTCGAAAGCGTGGAGACTTAAATTTACAGATGTCTGATGATAAAACATAGTGAAAAGGGAACCACCTGTTCGTAAGGCTGTGGATCGATATGGAACACTATGGATGGGAGGGGCAGTGAGGCTGTGGATCGAAATGGGAACACTATGGATGGGAGGGGCAGTGAGGCTGTGGATCGAAATGGGAACACTATGGATGGAAGGGGCAGTGAGGCTGTGGATCGAAATGGGGACACTATGGATGGGAGGGGCAGTGAGGCTGTGGATCGAAATGGGAACACTATGGATGGGAGGGGCAGTGAGGCTGTGGATCGACATGCGGACACCATGGATGGGAGGGGCAGTGAGGCTGTGGATCGAAATCGGAACACTATGGATGGGATGGGCAGTGAGGATGTGGATCGACATGGGAGGGGCAGTGAGGCTGTGGATCGACATGGGGACACTATGGATGGGAGGGATAGTGAGGCTGTGGATCGAAATCGGAACACTATGGATGGGATGGGCAGTGAGGCTGTGGATCGACAGGGGAGGAGCAGTGAGGCTGTGGATCGACATGGGATGGGCAGTGAGGCTGTGGATCGAAATGGGAGGGGCAGTGAGGCTGTGGATCGAAATTGGGACACTATGGATGGGAGGGGCAGTGAGGCTGTGGATCGAAATTGGGACACTATGGATGGGAGGGATAGTGGGGCTGTGGATCTAAATGGGAGGGGCAGTGAGGCTGTGGATCGAAATGGGAGGGGCAGTGAGGCTGTGGATCGAAATGGGAGGGGCAGTGAGGCTGTGGATCGAAATGGGAGGGGCAGTGGGGCTGTGGATCGAAATGGGAGGGGCAGTGAGGCTGTGGATCGAAATGGGAGGGCCAGTGAGGCTGTGGATCGAAATGGGAACACTATGGATGGGAGGGGTAGTGCGGCTGTGGATTGATATGGGAACACTATGGATGGGAGGGGCAGTGAGACTGCGTATTTACATTGGAGCACTACAAATTGAAGAGGCAGTAAGGCTTCGAATCTTCATAGGAGAACCATGGATAGGAGCGGCGGAAAGGCTGCGTATTGACGTGTGAGCACCAAGAATGGGGGCCCGTAAGGCTACATATTGACATGGAAGCACCAAGTACTGGGGCCCGTAAGGCTACATATTGACGTGGAAGCACCAAGAATGGGGGCCCGTAAGGCTATATATTGTCATGGAAACACCAAGAATGGGGGCTCATATGGCTATATATTGACATGGAAGTACCAAGAATGGGGGCCCGTAAGGCTACATATTGTCATGGAAACACCAAGAATGGGGGCTCATAAGGCTACATATTGACATGGAAGCACCAAGAATGGGGGCCCGTAAGGCTACATATTGACATGGAAGTACCAAGAATGGGGGCCCGTAAGGCTACATATTGTCATGGAAACACCAAGAATGGGGGCCCATAAGGCTACATATTGACATGGAAGTACCAAGAATGGGGGCCCGTAAGGCTTCATATTGACATGGAAGTACCAAGTATTGGGGGTGGTAAGGCTACATATTGACATGAAAGCACCAAGTATTGGGGGCCCGTAAGGCTACATATTGACATGGAAGTACCAAGTATTGGGGGTGGTAAGGCTACATATTGACATGAAAACACCAAGTATTGGGGGCCCGTAAGGCTACATATTGACATGGAAGTACCAAGTATTGGGGGTGGTAAGGCTACATATTGACATGAAAGCACCAAGTATTGGGGGCCCGTAAGGCTACATATTGACATGGAAGTACCAAGAATGGGGGCCCGTAAGGCTACATATTGTCATGGAAACACCAAGAATGGGGGCCCGTAAGGCTACATATTGACATGGAAGTACCAAGAATGGGGGCCCGTAAGGCTACATATTGACATGGAAGTACCAAGTATTGGGGGTGGTAAGGCTACATATTGACATGAAAGCACCAAGTATTGGGGGCCCGTAAGGCTACATATTGACATGGAAGTACCAAGTATTGGGGGTGGTAAGGCTACATATTGACATGAAAGCACCAAGTATTGGGGGCCCGTAAGGCTACATATTGACATGGAAGTACCAAGTATTGGGGGTGGTAAGGCTACATATTGACATGAAAGCACCAAGTATTGGGGGCCCGTAAGGCTACATATTGACATGGAAGTACCAAGTATTGGGGGTGGTAAGGCTACATATTGACATGAAAGCACCAAGTATTGGGGGCCCGTAAGGCTACATATTGACATGGAAGTACCAAGTATTGGGGGTGGTAAGGCTACATATTGACATGAAAACACCAAGTATTGGGGGCCCGTAAGGCTACATATTGACATGGAAGTACCAAGTATTGGGGGTGGTAAGGCTACATATTGACATGAAAGCACCAAGTATTGGGGGCCCGTAAGGCTACATATTGACATGGAAGTACCAAGAATGGGGGCCCGTAAGGCTACATATTGTCATGGAAACACCAAGAATGGGGGCCCGTAAGGCTACATATTGACATGGAAGCACCAAGAATGGGGGCCCGTAAGGCTACATATTGACATGGAAGTACCAAGTATTGGGGGTGGTAAGGCTACATATTGACATGAAAGCACCAAGTATTGGGGGCCCGTAAGGCTACATATTGACATGGAAGTACCAAGTATTGGGGGTGGTAAGGCTACATATTGACATGAAAGCACCAAGTATTGGGGGCCCGTAAGGCTACATATTGACATGGAAGTACCAAGTATTGGGGGTGGTAAGGCTACATATTGACATGAAAGCACCAAGTATTGGGGGCCCGTAAGGCTACATATTGACATGGAAGTACCAAGTATTGGGGGTGGTAAGGCTACATATTGACATGAAAGCACCAAGTATTGGGGGCCCGTAAGGCTACATATTGACATGGAAGTACCAAGTATTGGGGGTGGTAAGGCTACATATTGACATGAAAGCACCAAGTATTGGGGGCCCGTAAGGCTACATATTGACATGGAAGTACTAAGTATTGGGGGTGGTAAGGCTACATATTGACATGAAAGCACCAAGTATTGGGGGCCCGTAAGGCTACATATTGACATGGAAGCACCAAGAATGGGGGCCCGTAAGGCTACAAAGTGACATGGAAGCACCAAGAATGTGGGCCCGTAAGGCTACATATTGACATTGAAGCACCAAGAATTGGGGCCCGTAAGGCTACAAAGTGACATGGAAGCACCAAGAATGGGGGCCCGTAAGGCTACATATTGACATGGAAGCACCGAGAATTGGGGCCCGTAAGGCTACAAAGTGACATGGAAGCACCGAGAATGGGGGCTCATAAGGCTACATATTGACATGGAAGCACCGAGAATGGGGGCCCGTAAGGCTACATATTGACATGGAAGCACCAAGAATTGGAGGGGTGGTCAGACTGTGAATCAACATGGGAGAGCTATGGATGGGAGAGGTAGTAAGGCCTTGGATCGACATGAGTTTACCACTGATGTGTCAGGGTATCACCCTCTACTTCTTCATCGATAGCTTATCAATGACTTGCTTCCTCAACTACAAATCGTATCTCCTGAAAATATAATAAAAAATATCGGCCTTTATTTTTCATTCGGTTTATTCAACATTTATGACCGAGACTTATGACGTAAGAGGTATTTTAACTACTTACATGTTCGCATGCTTACTCTTGCTCATCATAGAACATTTGCAAATACATAAAAAATGCATGTAGCCCTTATTTTCCGATCTCTCCTTTACTCCTATACACTTCGTTGATGAGTGTCGGGTACGACAACATTATTTGATAGTTTGGTATAATTCTCTTACTGAAATAGATGCCTGTAACTTTGAAAACAATATTTTACAATCACAAGGATAGCTGGTCTTTTTTAAAACAGACACTGTTACACAGACACGCTCTGATTTTGCCTTATTCAATCTTTAAACGGTGATAGGCATGTTCTACTATGTATATCTTCAGATGGCGTAACTTGGCTCCAACTTCTTCTGTCTTTAGTAGACGATAATTCAGTGCTGCCTTATTCTATCGCTAGAGGGTGATATTCCGGTGTTACCATTTACAAGGCATAACCTGGCTTTATCTTAATATATTGCTTGGTTCTACCTTATTCTATTTTAGGAGGCGTAACTTAGTTCTTCCTTATTCTATTTTTAGAAGACCATAGCATTGTTCAGTCTTATTCCTTATTTTCAAGGAATTTACCTGACTTTGTCCAATTATATCTTGTTGGCTACAAGATAAACTCGTTCTGCTTCAATACGTCTTTGAAACGGAAGTTAAGAAGTTTATAAAACGTAAAACGTATTTCCAGTTTTAATCAGATATTGATAGAGTTAAGCAAATTTACTGATTTTTTTCTTTGTTTCATATATTCACATTTGTGATGCAGCAATTAATAACAAACGTAAATAGTGCTATTGTATGATTCACTTTAAGTGAACAGGATGGTCGCAATAAGACATACGAATGGGTACACATCGATACGAATGTGTGAGTGTTGTGTTTCGACGTCGCGTAAGGTTAAGAGGAATGCCTACACACACTTAAAGACTTGTATATCTATTTGTGCAATGTTCATTTAAGTGCCTTCTAGGTTTGTCAGGATAACCTTGTATGTCACCACTTCCGTTTGAGTATTAAAAGATTTCCCCCGACGCGACATCTGGCTGATGGTTAATGTCACGGGTTATTAATGACGGTCAGTATTGAATTTGTTATTGTGTAGTGTACAATAATTGAATGGTTCACGTGATACCAACAGGCAGGACGCCATTATAGATACTTCACATACAGTTACATCAACTGGGGTCATTGCTGTCAATACATACTTAATGACAATTATGTTTTGGAGTGCCATTGGATCAATGTAAAGATATGCTACAGATACATCACTTTTCATTTAAACAAAACAATTTACAATTTAAAAGACATATGCTAAACGAAAACACGTAATCTTACAAAACTACAGAACTGCTAAAATCGAATATGATATATATGTGTACATATATATATATATCACATGAATATATAGAATCTATTAAGTTATATCAACGGTATGGTCCAATATTGGTACTGGACACTAACAATGTCTGTTGGATGCGTAAAGTAATAACGACAGTACGTACAAGTATATTGTCAATTTTTCGACGCAATCCGCCCCCTTTAAAAAATAATCGAGAATGGTATCGTAAATTAATTGTCCCGATAATCCCTTCGGCTGATGGACGCCGAATGCCCTTTATAAGGAGCAAAAACCATCATAAGGTGTTGTGTGAATGATAGTAATATAAGTATATATGTTTTTTTTTTCTTTTTCTTTTTCAGAAATCTAAGTTGTGTAGGATGGACACTGAACGCAAAGAAACAGTTTTGAGTCAAACTAAAAAAAAAAAAAAAAAAAAAAAAAACGGGTTAGTCGATAAATCTTGGTCCCACTTTGAATAAGGAACTGCTGATTCAAAATGAGAAATTTTATTATAAAGATTTAAAGAAAAGAATGTATTTCTGGTGCGAGTTTGCTTTGGGCGAATCGATTGATCTGGGTTCTTATCGAACACATTCAACTTTATATCTTTTTTGTGCATTTAACCCCTGGTTTTTATATAAGAAACTATTCTAATTATACATACACTTCTTATTTTTTGTATTGCATTATAACTGCATGCTGTGTTTGGTCAGTGCGTGACAGCATGCACTGTGTACATGAATTGGTTATGGTTGTTTTTGTCGCAATATCAAACAGCCAAATTTCTGTTCACGATTTGTCACTGGTACTCATTCATAAAGCTATGTGTTTGTGGAATCGCACGTCATAGATATTACTACTGATTTGAATTAAACAATTTACGTGCGGTTAAAAAATGTGTGCTAAACTAAAACTGTTAAAGCAAACAACATGTGGGTGAAATTAAAACAATGATCTTCGAGAATTGTTA